TTAATAACCTGAAGACTGGTCAGGATAAAAAGTACCGCTGACAGCAGTATTCAAGTAATAAGGTGAAGGATTGTACATGTGCAAAGTCAGAATGTACTTTACCTTGGCACAACTCATAAGTAAGTCGGGATCCTGAGGACACCAGGCTATTGACAGGATTCCCCTAAAATCATAAACAAGACAGCGTTAAAAAATTAATTTCATATGTTTAGATTTTTAAAAGTTTAATAAAACAAAAAACTAAACTTGCACATGTTAGGACCTACCTCTGATGGCCTTCCAGCACTTTCATGGGAGATGTGGCAAACCTAAGGTCCCACATCTGCAAATTCAAAGGAAAGATCAGTAGATTACAAAATGCATTGTGTATTATTCTTAATAAAAGACCATCAACAATAAAAATTCAAATTCAAATTATAAATAAATAAAACAAATAAATACAAGGGAATTATCAGTGGCACCTCCACAAAGTGGCTATTCATCAACTGTTTACTGTATCGAATTGCAATTTGGAAAGTGTTGCTTTTTGTTAAATATATAAAAGTAAGTGTAAATCACTAATTACAATAACATAAAAAGGAAGAGATAAAATACTCCTACACTGCACTGAAGACATGCTACACACCACCCTGATAGTGTATCCTTAGCATGCACAAACACTGGATACCTCCGTCCGCTGGACAAATGCTAGCATCTCTTTGTGGTTAACTTAGTTAAAATGTATCGAACTGCATCTAAAATGGTAGCTGTTCACTTTTACTCCAATAATTTTAATTGCTACACACCTGAATTACTGGGTATCTGTCATCTTCGGAGGCTAACACCATCTGTGTTGCTACATCTGGATGCCATTCAACAGCCTTACATCGAATCTGCAACAATAACACATAGCTTCACCTTTCATGAACTACAACTTACAGTATACTGCATGCGCAGGTATGTCTGATGGGTCCCTTTTACTTACTGTAGCACTCTGATCACTGACTTTAATGATTGGTTCATTCTTCCTTAAGTCCCAAACAACACAACGGCCGCAGGGAGATGCTGAGGCCAAGATGTGCTGCACTTGTCTGTTCCATGACACACAACTGATGTTATCAGGTGGCAGAGTTTTACTTCCTGGTGTCAAAGGGTTACTAGGGTTTGTCAAATCCCAAATGTAGATCTCAGAATCACTAGCTCCTGATGCCAACAGGCTTGATTTAAAGGGATTGAAGTCCAAAGCTTGGACCGGTCCTAAAGCAAAAAGCATAGAAATATGTTTCGTAAGGGACCTGTAAATCTAGCAGGCAGCCACGATCTTTATCCCCTATTTCAATTGCTTGATTACCTGTATGTTTAGTAGACTGAAAAACCATTGAGTCATCAACATCTCCAGATAGAATCTTGCTTGCATCATAGATGCTAATAACACCATTATCACTACCACCAATTAAAAGTCCCGATGACGAACTGGAGGACTCCATTCCATGTGATCCCCAGACCAGTTTGTGGAACCTTCAGTTGATAAGAAGAAAACAACAACAACATAGTATTGAAACTGACTGCTGATTCTGACTCTAGATCACTTCTGATAAATCTGATTCTTCTGATAAATCATTACATTTTTAATAATTCTACAAAATTTTACACATAGTTGATTACTCGGGTTGGAATTAAAAAGTTGAATAACCCACCTGTGTTCTGAAGCCACAGTTCCTGCAAGTGGCATCTCTGTATCACCACTTGACAAATCAAGAGCAAAAATTTCAAGAGCAGCATTGGTACTAAAAGAGAGCAGGCAAAAGAAGTTGAATAAATCCTTGTTAGAGCACAAGGCCAGTTGGACAACCTTTAACAAGACCAGGATGCAACAAATGCTACTGAACACCTAACTACAGCTTGCTCACTTAACAAAGATTTTTCAAGGGTCTTCTCGTTAACTTCAATGATCGGCACAGTGGCCTCATGGTTAGTGTGGTTGACTCCAGATTGAGTGGTCTGGGTTGAAGCCCTGGCCGGAGACATTGCATTGTGTTCTTGGGCAAAACACTTAACTCTCACAATGCTGTCAGGATGTACTAAATGTCCCAGTATACGCAATAGGACTGTATATGTTGTCTGCTATGGGAATCATCTTCCCCATCCTCAACTGGGAAATAAGGTTAGTTTGGAAAAAATTGAATGAAAAAAAGTCCACGATGTCAAAATCACCAGAGACTAAATTCTTTCATTCCAACATTATTTCAAAACTATACCAGCATATGGCCATACTACCTGTTCATTATATTACACAAAGAATGGTCCAAATTAGCTGTCCAAACGGTCCCCCATTCCCTCTATGAGATGCACAAGCAGGGATTCATGGCATAAAGTGTCTTGAAGATGTCATATACATGATGAATACAACTACATGTACCATCATTCCTGGCACAGCATTGTCATGGGGGAACTGGCCCATTTCAGTGAGCAAAACATGAAATTGGCATATCTACCTGAAGGTAGCATCAAGCTGTTGAGCCGCTGTTCCTGCTGCTAAATAGATAGGATACTGAGGAGCAGGACTCCATGCAATGTTTGCTGTTCTGTTCACCTCCTTGACTTTCATTTTACCTACAGAAAACAGTGATCAGGAAGGTTTGAGTAACATCAGATATATTTTTATGTAAAACTAGGCACATCTCATATTTTCTTAAAGTTACATGGACTATGTTTATGTGCATGGCCATTTCAATGTGTCAACAAAATTCCCAATTTTGATCCTAAATGAGCAAATTTATGTACTGTGATTATCAACACTGAAACCTGGGATTGGGGATGGCGACAACAAAACCACTTTATTGGTTCTGTCACACAGTGATTGAACATAATAGGTTTCCACTTATTTGGTTCCACCTTTGTGTACATCCATTGTTATTTCTGGCACAATCAAAACAAACATAAAATTAGGTTCAGAGCAGCTGTCACCTGCTTAAGTACACATGTAGAATGCTCCACCATTATTAAATAAGATCTATGCTATACCTTGACATCTGTCAACCACTGTAACCTAGTCCAGACAGAGGAAATTCGCACATGAACAAAACAATTTTGATTGATAAGAACTCTTTTCCTCATAGGTTCTAATAATACCGAGGGATTTCTTGCTACATTAAAAGTGGGATTGTTCTTGAGAAAAAACAAACATAAATTTGCGGCGTTATGAGGGTTAAGCTGAACTGTTACTGTACTAAAAACATTCAAATTGTTGTCTTTAAAACCGGCTTCTCATGATCATCAATTGATAAAGAACCAGCGCTAGCTCATGGATCTTCCCATTACGAAAAATAACAACCGAAGGAACTAACACAACTATTCTTGAAACACGCAGCCCTTAAGTTTCACTTTTAAAGCACCACTAATAAATTTGGTTCATAAACCTATTTTCTTGGAGAAATCCCATCTGATCGAAACAGCTGAAGATCGCTGATAAATTACACCGGTCTATTTGTAGTAAGTTACCTACCTTTGCTTTGCGTTTCTTCTACAAAAACTTAGTTTCATAAAACCAGAAATAAGGCAGAAATATTAAGGAAAAGTAGTACCTGTATTGGAGAATTTCGCCGTTGCGGATCACCATACGTGTAAATCTAAACGACTCCACACTCGACAACGTGGCAAATATTTCGCGTCCAGCCTCGTTCTGAAGACACAACAATGGTCAGTTGTTGTCAGCACAACCGTAGCGTACGTCATTTAGATGGACGCAAACAGTCTTCAGAAGATATGAGTCGCCGGGCAAGTTGTAGCTACTTGTGTAATTATTACTTTCCGAGTTTGGGTCTGGCCATAAATTTTTCTAGGGTCGAGAACATGGCGATTTTATAGTACACTCAAGCTCGGGGAATTCGTCAACTAGAGAACCAAACTGGCTTCTGGAATCGTTTGGCATTTTTAAAGAAACATAGAATTGAAAAAGGCTTTCCGTCAAAAATCTGTCAAGATCGTTCTCGGCTGCCGGGACAATATAACAATTTATTTTATCTTAAAATTCTTGGTATGCTAAACTTCTTTAGCATTTTAGGTTACAATTCTTACAAATAGACTGCGAACAGCTTCCTCCCTGAAAAATCACCGAGCAAGAAACTTATCAACCCAGAGCGAGCTCTTTGACGGAAAATCTCAATCGAGACCTTGACGCGTTGACTGAGCGATCGGCGAGGTCAATACGCCAAGGCCGAGGTTTGAGATTTTCCCGTAAAAGGCCGAACGTTCGAAGTTAATAACTAGTTTATTACATGGCTTTTAAAGTACCATAAAAAGCTGTTTGGCTGTTTCCTTCGTCCTGTTTGGTACCAACTCCTTCGTAATTTGACTAATTTAACTCCGTGAATTCGCTGTTCTCCAAAAATTGTAGCTCGTCAGGGCAGTAAAATTCCTTTTCAGAGTTTTCCTCATCGTTTTCAGCTGCTACAATTCTGAGAAAAAGCAATGGTTTTTTGATTACTTTTTGCATTGTATTTGCTGGCACATCATCATCGGCCCGTGGCTTTACGGGAGAATAATGTCCTAGAATAAGCCAATCAGAACGCGCGTTATATCGGCTAACCGCCGCCCGTGGGGGAGGTCGAGGGTTTCAGTCCCAGACCGGACCAATACTCAGGGTCTTAAAATAACCGAGGAGAACGTGCTACCTTTGTAATTACACCTAATGGTCAGGCGATCAAGTCTTCTCGGATAAGGACCATAACCCTAGACCCCTTCTCCTGCATCTTCAGTGTTACATGGTTAGCAGAGGATGTTAAAGGACCTACACACTCATCGCAAAGAGTAGGGCACGTAGTTTCCGGTGTTGTGGTCTGGCCTTATCTCACGGGGTGGTGCTTTACATAGGGTTAACCTCATTGCGCCTTTCCCCCTTGAACAGAATCGGCCATGGCATGGCTAAGGCTACAAAGACAAGTGTTATAAAAGTAATAAAAGGCTTTAATTACTTATGTGCTAAACTTGATACACGAAACTTCAGTACTTTTTCCGAAAATTTTTTGTTGCGCAAAGGGAAATTCACTTATCTTTTGGAAGAAATGTTACGCTTTAAACGTGTCACCACTTATCGTCCTTCCAAAGTCGTGAAATGAAGTGTCGCGAACATTTCTTGCTTGGTAGTTTTCAGGGGAATTTACATCTTGGCGTGTTTTCAATTTCGGCAAAATGTGAACACGGAAATCACGCTACTCAGTTTTAAGCTGTTATTTTAAACAGGTCTATTACTGTAACTTGGGTGAGCAAATAGTCACTTGAGAGGAGGTAGAATAGGTTGGACGGGGGGACGTAGGAGGCTTATTCAGTACTTTAACCACAGCATTTGCCCTTTTATTAAATAAATATTTCCACATTAAAGTTGATACATTAAATGCAATATATAATGATATACTCTAAAACAATGGTATAATCCGGAACTTGTGAAGACGTAAACTGACCACTGA